CGCACCGAAAGGTCAGAATCCACTCCCCGGCCATAAACGCCCAGGCGCATGAGTCAGGCGTTTCTCTTCCAGTCGCCACTTTCTCTCCCAGCGGCGGCTGATGGCTATTTGCTCTCCCTGGGAATGTTTTCTGCGCGTTTGAGGGAAACGCCGTGCGTGTCACAGAAAGTTGAGCAGCATAGAGGGCGCCCGGGTCAGAGCCAGGTGTGCGTCTGAGGAGCGCGGGTGGGCGCGCAGCTCACTGCACTGGGCGCTGGGCAGTCCTCCTGCCTAGTGAGGAACGGAGGGTGCGCGCTGAGCTGGCTGGACCGGCCCCTTTTGTCGGGGGAGTCGGCTGGTGCGTTGCTCCCTGCGGGGTGGGCCTCTATGGCCGCGGGAGGCCCTTTTTCTCGACCTAATAAAAAGGCGTGTCTTGGACACATTTGCTGGAGGCTATTTTGGGGGCTCATCCTCGGGATCTGGATCTGAGCCACTTCAGAAAACAGTTTATTTGTAAATACTGAGCTTTGAAGCAGTGTTGGAGTAGATCTAGGTAGCAAAGGTTAAAGGAGTTTCAGGGGTGGTGTTGGGGGGCTGTATTCTCTGAAAGCTGGAGAAAGAGATCTCCGCATCTTTGTGGCGCCCTCTTCCAAATTGACACTTGACCCGGGGAACTCCATCCTCAGCCCTGAACTAGAAGATAATGCCTGTGGGGAAATTTCTTACTGGCTTTAAAGAGATTGAAGATGGACTTGTCAGAGTAAGGAAAGACAGCTGAAGTGAAGAATTTTAAGTGAAATGAAGATTTCTCTCTCTTTGCAAACTACTTGGAAAAGGGTGGTGGTGGTGGGGGAATTAAGTAAAATCACATGGTCTAGTCATTTGGAAATTTGTACCTAATTATGGTGGTGGAGAGGCCTGTGCTGTTTTCATTACATGCCAAAACCGTTTTCTAACAAGGCTGTGGGTTCTGCAGTTCCTTGACCCAGGAAATCCTTTGCCTGATCCTTATCTGGAGTAGGGTAGGGTTTCACTCGGAGATCAGAACTGGGCCAGGGGGAATTTTGATCTAGTTCCTTGATGTGCAAGCCTGGGGCAAAGGATTTGGCTTGGGTAGCTGGGGAAAACACTGGCTTTCTGCTGGTCCCTGATGGATTTGGCGACTTGGGGCAACTGCCTCCCAAAAAGGGGCTTGCCTGAGTGAGGCCTTGGAGGGCTGGGCCTCCTTCCTGTGGGCAGCCTAGTGCAGGGAAATGGGCCATTCACTTTCTGCCAGGACCATTCTTATTCTGGTCTCTGCAGCCCCGCCTCCCCACCCCCCATCCATTAACATTTTAGCCATGTTGTTCTGTGGGGTTTGCTGACTGCATTCCTGACCTGGGGGCTCCTGGGCTGGGCTTAGCAAGAGTACACCTCCTGTCCTCCTAGCAGGTTTCAGGTTTCCTCAGTGTGTTTGCGTGTGTGTGTGTGTGTGTGTGTGTGTGTGTGTGTGTGTGTGTGTGTGTGTGTGTGGTGGGTTGGGCACTGTCCCTGCAGTCTGCCCCCTCCCCTGCCCATTGTAGAGGGAGGTGGGGATCCCGGTCCTGTCCACTTGACAGATGTTTGGGATCTGAATAGGATTTGCCCAGTGCTATGAAAACAGTAAGAGCACCCACCCTTCCCCGCCCTGTGCTTCGGTTTGGAGCTACAGACCTTTTGGAACAGAATCTCCAAAGTGAGTCTCCTTCCTCCTGGTGCAGTACCCTAAGTAGTGGAAACTAAGAACCTGAGGACAGCGGTAGCCCCTGCACTCCTCTCCCTGCCTGAAATGAGCCCATTGTTGCAGACTGCTTGTCGGAGCAGGTTGTAAGTGGCTGTGGTAGCCCAAACTCAGATAAAAGCTGCCAGCTCAGCCCTGGTCTACCTTCTAGGTCCAGTCAGAGGCATGCCTAGTCTGTTGGGAGCACTCTGGTCTGTCTGGAGCCCATGAAAATGTAGGGGAAGGACTGAAGGAGAAGGGGCAGGGTGCTGGGATAATCCAGGGTGATTAACCCTGCTACAGTCTCCTCCTGGAAGACTCGGTACGGGGAAGAGGCCTTGGGGTGTCCCAGGTCCCAAATGACTCCTCCCTTGAGTGGGTGGGGCTTTGTGCCTGGCACGTGGCAGCCCCATCCCCACTGTGCAGATGGAACCCTCTTAACTAACCCTGCCCCTCCTCAGCTGTGTGGTAAGCCCTGGAGGCGTGCATTCCTGTTTGTGTCGGGAATGTGGTGAGCCTGGAGCAGCTGGAGTACGCACGGGAGATGAGAGAGATGCCAGGTGGCTTTCCTGGGCTGTTTGGGCCCAGAGACCAGCATGGGTCTTGGGGTGACCAGCAGCTAGCTGTAGAGTGGGACTTGTTTGTCCCGTGTGGTGTGGTGGCGGGAGCTTTGTTCTCTGGAGCCGGCTGGCCAGGCGCCCTGGGTCATTGAGTAACTGATACATAAACATCCCAGCCACTCATGCAGCCAACCAGGACCGGGCTGGAGGAGTTTCCCTTGCCTTGCATGATGTCTCCGCTTAAAAACAAAAGGGAAACTGCCTGATTATTTGTCCTGAGAGAGTTTGGAGAGTGTTTCCTACTGCGTAGCCATGGATCAGTCAGTCTTGATCTTCTGAGTTCCTGCCTAGGTGGGTTCTTCTCATCCTTTGCAAATCAGAATAGCTCCTTGGAGCCTAGGTTGGCTTTTGGTCTGTGACCACCCATCTTGATGGGTGCAAGTGTGGACTGTTTGACTAGGAGCTGTTCCCACTCAGTCTTGTCTAAAGAAGCCTGCTGAGTTGGCCATTAGCAGCGCTGATGAGCTGTCAGGGCTGTGTCCCCTCTGGGCATTGAACTGAGCCAAGAGGCCTGAAGTGGGGGCCCCAGCACATGGACACTGGGCTGGCCGGTCCCTTCCTCAGCCATCTGCCCTGCTTGCTCATTTTTCTGGGTCTTGTTTCTTCAGATGCAGATGGTGAGTAAAGCTTGACCCCAGTAATCAATTGGTCTGAACAAGCTGCAGAAAGGCCCATAGCTGATGCTCATGTTAAATTTTACCTAGAAGCTGGTCTATTGGCTCTGGTTTGGCAATGGCTAGGTGGCCACCACCAGGGTGTGACTCACAATGACACTTTTTTGTGAGAAAAAAAAAAAAACTTCTTGTAACGGTTGATGGGAAATTCTTATTGCATGAGTAGTTCTGATCTTATTTTGGGTCTCAAAAAAATTAGTAGTATTGAAACATTGAGTCACTTAAGTGGAAAGTCGAGTTCTGCTCAGATTGTCTTTTCCATTTACACGTTCCTGGAGAGTTTTGGTTTTCATTTCAAATGTGCTGGTCCAAGGTGTATCAAGGGGGCCTAGTCTCTGGTTGGTTTTCAGGCTCTTGATGCCTTGGGGCTGGGCAGAAAAAACTTTGGATTTTGTGTCCTATACTGGGTTGGGGCCTAGTTCTGGACTCATGGCTGGAATGTCACTCATGTTTCTGGAGAGGAAAAGGAGGCCACAGGGTAGGGATCTGGTGACTCTTTGAGTCCTGTCTGTTGAGCACATGTCCCTGTACTGTTTGACCCTGGAAGCCGATGGAGGAAGCAGAGGGGATGGGCAGGGAGGCCAGGTCTGGACAGTATGAGCTGATGGGTTTACATGGCAGGGGGGAAGCTATGTGTCCAGAAATCAAAGGGACCAGGGAATTGGGGCTGTATACTATAGCCCCCTCACTGTGCATAGGGCTGTGATGTCCTCGTGGTGGGTGGCTCTGGGTCATTGTCACACTTTCTCCACCCAGTGGAGAAAGGGCATGGCTACAGGGCATGGCTGCAGGTACCTTCCTTCCTGGGGCTGCCCCCTTCTCTGCAGGCACCCAGGACACTGCTCAAGCCATTGCCAATCCTCCCTTACACTGTCTCTGAGCAGCCATACCTCTTGTGCTTTCTCATGGCCTCTGGCCCTCGTAGCAGGCTTATTTCAGGAATTGGTTGGGGCTGGCTCACAGCCCAGTCTGGAGTTGCTTCTGATGCCCCTCAGAGGTTAGGATGGATGCTCCATGGAGGCCTTGTTTATGGAGGAGGCGGGGCCTCTTGGTTCTCGAGTGGTGGCCTTGGGCTTTTCCTGACCTGGTTCATTGAGCTTCCTTAGAGGTAGCCACCTGGGGTCTTTTTCCCACTAGGTCTCAGCTCTGCCCTAGGCCTGGCGGGAATCGCTTGATTCTGGGGACCTCTGTGTTGAAGGGACATTTTTACCCTGGTTTGGAGTGTTTCACCCCTGCACATCTGAAGAATCCCAGGGAATGCAGGGAGAGGGGACTAGGGATTGCCTTGCGGGGTGGGGCTAGGTGGGCTGAGCTTCCAGGCTCTTTGTTCCAAGGTGGCTCTGGCTCTGAGAGCTGATCTGCAGGACCATGCAGGTCCAGCCTGGGGCACCACGAAGGTGTGGACAGCTGGTTGCATGTTCTCTTTCTACCTGTAGGAACCGAGGATGCCTTGGAGACCAGCCTGAGAGCCCACGCACCCCATGCCACCAAGCATGCTCCGGAGAAGCGGCCTGTGCCCATTCGGAGGAAGAGGAGCATCGGTGGGTCCAGGAGGCTTTGGTGGGCAGAGATGTAGGGGGTAGTCCAGGCTCCTCATAGTGGCCTCCAGCAAGCGCTGAACATCTCTCCCCAAACAAAGGCTGAGCCTGCTCCTCTGTCTCTGGCCTGCTGCCCTCTCTGGAGGCGCCCTCTGCCTCTACGATGTGCCTCCTGCCTGGCCTGCTCTTCGTTGAGATGCAGCCTGGGCCAAGAGTTTCCAGGGAGAAGAGCTGTCATAAATTCCTTAAGTGCCGGGTCTTGTTGGGGCCTGTCTGCAAGGAGGCCTTGCTGGAAAAACGTGGCTGAGCCTAAGTTCCAGTACTAATGTAGAGCCCCAGTGTGCTCGCAGCTGGGTGCAGCTAGTGGACTGGGCCCAGTGGGCCCCTTCTTAGGGGACAGCTGGTGGCCTCTTGGTGATATTTGTGAGCAGATCTTTGGGGTGGCTGTAGACTCAGATTGTGCCTACTCCAGGCTTTCCGACCCTCTGCACCTCCAGGGACCACCTGTAGATCCTAGGGTCTTGGGGATCCAGGCTGGTCCCTCTGCTGGAGTCCTTGCTCAGCCCCCAAGGGACTGTGTATGTGAGGCGGGGGTGGGGTGGGGTGGTCCTAAGCCTGATAACCTGGGCTGGGTGTGAAGATCTCTGTGTGCTCACTGTAGTCTTGTTCTTCAGAGGAAGCCATTCCCGCAGTCTGCAAGACCAGGACAGTCATTTACGAGATACCTCGGAGTCAGGTGGACCCCACGTCTGCCAACTTCCTGATCTGGCCGCCGTGTGTGGAGGTGAAGCGCTGCACTGGGTGCTGCAACACCAGCAGTGTCAAGTGCCAGCCCTCGAGGGTCCACCATCGGAGTGTCAAGGTGAGCTGCCACTCACCCAGCCACAGTGGCCTCCAGATTCGGTGTGGCTGAGGTGTCCTGTCCCCTCTGAGTCATGGGGGACAGTTGGGCTGCTTCAGCTCTCTCTGGGCTGCCGGATCGAGGCCTATAGCTTCTGGGCCAATTGTGGCTTTTAGGCTGGGTTTGCTTTCCTCTGGCCCCATGTACCCTGGTCAGAAGAGGGCTTTGTACACTTGGCAGACCCTTGGGTATTGGTCTCTGAAGAATACAGGTAGAGGGCAGGTACCTGGGGCACCTCTAGGCATCTCTGCTGTGAGGCCCACTGTGGCTGAGCCTTCAGGCACCCATCCTAGGCTGGATGTTCCTGGGCTCTGCTCTCTAGAGTCTGGTTCTGTTCTGGTCCTACATGACCCTTAGGAGGAGCACGGGTGATTGACCAAACAGTGGAGTATAGGCAGCATGGCCCCTATCCTGGAGGCTGTGGAGTGGAGCTTTTGGCAGAGTCCACTTCTGAGACAGGAGACACCTTTCCTGGGTCAAGGAGTCCCCAGAATTAAGTTGGGAATTTCAGTTCTGGAGATGACACTAGAACCCAATCCTAGACTGTAGAAAAAACTATCAGGTCCTTCTACCCTGTTGAGAGACCTGGGCTTGGAGGGAGATGCTGGAGAGAGCACTTTGTTTTAAGGACCTGTCACAAGCCAAATGTTTGTCTCGTGTAGTAGAGACATGTCTTGACTTCTGGACTTAGTCTTTGTGGAGCCCTGGGATTGAGTGAGGACCTCCAAGGCCAGACATTCCCCTTAAAAGAGACCAAGGCATCCCTGAATCCTGGAGGCTCTGCAGAGCCACATGGTAGGGACCATGAGGGTGTGACTCAGGCTCCAGTGTCCAGAGACCTTGTCCTATTGTTGCCAGTGTCCTGTGACCCTGGCCCAGCTTCTTGTCTTTCCCTGGGTCCTGGGATTCTCACTGTAGCTTGTTGGGGGTTACTGTTAGGGGCTTGTTGGGGGCTCTCCTAGGCTGAGAGTTCGAGACCCTAAGCTTTCTTGCCCTCTAGGGTACAGGGTCAGTTAGGCCTAGCTGACCTATTCCATGTGTAAGTGCTGGTCTGTCCTCAGATGAATGAGACAGGGACTTGGAGGGACAGGTGTTGGTGTGAAGGAGGTTACTTGGAAGTTTTTAACCCATGACCTCCAGCCTCTGGGTGCTTGCTGTTCCCATTCCTGCTTCCCCTGGGGTGGGCATGAGGAATGTGTTCCCAGTGGGACAGTGGAGCCTCCCTTCCCTGTTTTCCTGAGTGAGCTGGGAGTCCAGAGGTCCTCAGGGTGCCATGACTGACCTTGTCTGCTTGGTGGGATTCTGGTAAACCCTCCTGGACAGCAAGTCTTGTGTCCAGAGCTAGGTCCCTGGGCTCCCTCAGGAAGGCCTGTCCCCTGCCCACCCTTCCAGAAGCTCGAGGACACATTTGGCAACAGACACTGGGGGCTCTGGCATAAGGGACAGAGGTCAGCAGGGACAGGAATCCTATTGTGGTGGCTGAGTGCCATTGGGCTTGAGGCAGATGGTGAACTGGGTGCCCAGACTCAAGCTGAGCTTGTGTGGTGATGTGGTCAGCAGGAGCAAGGCTAGGAAGGAGGAGGGCCAGGCAGCCACTACCCCAGGTCAGCACTGGCCTCACTGTGTGGAGTCTGGAATGGGCTCTCCTTTGGTTTCTGAGGACATGAAGGGGAGGCCTCATCCTGGCCTAGTACCCTGTATCCAGCTTGCTGGGGCCTCCCTGACCTCCAGCCCTGGCAGAGGCAGCAGGGCTCTGGGGCTGGCTGCTCTGTGTGCTCTGCTGGTCACGCCTGGCATCTGGCCCCTGGTAGCTACTGGGTGTCTGGCTTGGACAAGGCAGAACTCCCCACTCTTGGGCCCTATTTGGCTCTGCACTGGGTGGGACCACTGGAACCAGCGCTGAACTGCATCTGATCTGGTTCTGCCTGAGTCATTTCTGTGCAGGGAAACCTTAGGCTGGTGTTGTTTTGAGGGAGTCTTGAGAGTGAGGACCCAAGGCCCTGCAGTAGACAATATGGTCAGCCCCCAGTCTTGCCAGAACCTGCTCTGCAGCACCCAGGCTGGGGACCATGGCTGCTAGGCCGAACTTCAAGTTTCCGAAGGTGTGTGCTTGCTGGGTGCCCAGGCCAGGCTTCCCTCTGCTTCCCTGGGTGGAGTTGGGGGTATGTTCTGGAGGAGAGTTCCTAGCTGGGGCCCCAGAGTTTGGGGTTTGGGGGTTGGGGTCTCACATCCCTCCCTGTGGTGAAGGGCAGGGTGTTAGCACAGTGAGAAGGGGGCCCTGGACCTTAGAGAGCCCTGGAACCACTTTATTTTGGCCCAAGTGGGATGCTGGGAGTGTGGGCCAGGTGGGCTCCCAGCCCTGTCACTCCCAGTTTGAGGTCTGGCTCCAGTCATCCTCCGGGAGAGCTGGGCTCCAACACCCTCCAGCTCATTTGAATAGCAGGCTCAGGGTCTGTGGGATGGGGTCCCAAGGCCTCACCTCAGGGCTCTGCTCCTTCTAAGTCCAGTCCCTTGAAGGCAGAGAGAAGGGCCAGGGATGGAAAGCTGTGGAGCACTGGGCAGGCCACTTGTCCTTTCCTGGTCCTTGTCTGTGCAGGGGCTGTAACCGTGTCTTCCCAGCTGCTGTCAGGAACACAGGCCCGGGCTTAGTCAGTGGTGGCTTTTATCACAACTGACCCAGTCCTGAAGGTCTGGACTGGTCAGGATAGACCCTTCTAGGAGGGCAGGTGCCTCAGAAGCAACCTTGGGGGCCTGCTGGGCGTCTCCTGCAGGAGGGATACAGCCTGGCTGGGTGAGGCTCTGGGGTGAATTTACTGGGAGCATGTGGATGTGGAGCCAAGGCAACAGTGGTTGGGGTGTGATACAGGGAGGGACTTCAGGGACCTCTCAGGACCATGGAATGCAAGTGGGGGGCCCTAGACCTGGTAATCTCTGTTTTCAGACTTTGCTTTCACGGGGGAGATTTTTAAGAATTCAGAATTCTAACATGTTCTTGGGGGAAAAATGTAGCCATTTCCTGGCCAGACAGAGGTGTCCGAGTGGCTGGAATCCTTGCATTCCCAGTAGCAGGTGCAATCATAAATTGCTGTTTGTTTTTCTCGATAAATGTGGTCTGGCTGGAGAGAAAGTCGGTGCCCAGACCAGGCAGCCTCAGGGACTGGTGTGAGGGCAGCGTAGCAGGAGTGCTGAGGGGCTGCCCTGCCTGCTGCACCCACTGGTCCGTGTGGAGAGGAATAAGCCTGCACCCTGCTTGGGGGTCTAGGTCCAGGTCTCAGCCGATCTGGGGCCTGGCATATGGGGGCATATGGCCGTGGGGGAACTAGGGAGGCCACTGTTGACCACAGAGGTGTGAAACTCAGACAAGTGCTTGACTCAAGCCTGGCTCCAGGGGCTCACCGCTTACCTTCTCTGCTCCCAGACCCTGTGCGGGGTGTCGGGGGAGCACAGCCTCCCACCTGCTTGGGTTTATGGCTGGGGCTCCCCTACAGGGGAGGCGGTGCTGGGCTTGTGTATTCCCAGGCAGATCTGGTTCTGATTCCTGGAAGCTGTGGGTGCAGAGGAGGGCTGGGGCATGGCTGGGTCCGGGTGGCCCCACTGTTTTCTGAGGACTTGCCGAGTTTCATCCGAGGGGGGCCTCCCTCAACCCAGACCTTTGAAGGAGCGGGTCACTGGACTACCTCCCCCCATTCCTTACCTGCGAGTAAACAGCCTTCATGTTGCTTTTGGGGATGGGGAGTGGGTCGTGCAGTATCCCCTGGGACCTCTGGGCTTGGCTTCCCGGAAGAGGGCCTGAAGCTGACCTTGGCCTGATGGCGTTGACACCTGCTGAGTGGCTCTGCAGCCACTGTCCCACTTCTGAGTGTCTATGTGGGGACCTCCTTTGTTCCCTGGGTGGGTATGTCCCACGTCAGAGCTCCACAGACTCCTCCCTCCCGGCCCCTGACCTGGGAAAGGGGTGGGTTGTGGGTGGGGATCCAAGCCCTCCCAACAGCCGTGAAATGGCCCCTTCCAGGCAGCAACTCTGGGGCAAAGCCTATGTTCCTCCGCCCTGGCTTCTGTCTCTTTTGCCTCCTGACGTAGGGAAACCTCTGCTGACCTCTGACCCTGGCCCCACACCCTGCCCTCTGAGCTCATACCTGGCAGCTATGTTCACACCTGCAGCAGCCACAGTACTCACACGCCCGCTGGGCACCCGGCACCCTTTGCACCATGGGTTAACTATTAACGCCAAGGTGGTGTGCAGCAGGGCCCAGACAGGCCTGTTCCCAGAGCCTTGGGGAGGCTTGCCTGTAGGGTAGCCACCTGGCCGGTATAGGACTGACCTTCCGCCTAAAGTCCAGGCTCTGAAGGCGAGTGGACAAGGAAAATATTGCCATCCTCTTCTCTCCTGACAGCCACAGAGCTGGCCACTGGGTGGGCACCCTCACCTAGGGGCTAGTGCTGGCTAGGGATCCCACCCTGCAGGTGCTTGGGATACAGGGTGTGCTCCATGCCCTTTCTAGCCTCTGTGTCCCTGGTATACAGGGGTGACCTTGAGGAACACTCTTGGGGTTATATACATGGATAACTACGGTGCGCCCAGTTCCATGGGGCTGGGAGGGAGCTGCTCTGGGGTATTCACAGAGGGGCACCTAGTGCGTGTACAATTTTGGTGATGCTGAAGGGAGCCCTCACTTGGGTGTACATGCTCTGGGACTGGGAAGAAGGCCTGACTGTATGTATACAGATGGGCACCTATTGTGTACACAGTGCCGTGGGGCTGGGAGAGGGAGTCTGCTTCCCAGAGTCTACTCCAGGATGGTGGCTAGGGAGAAGACTCCATGTGTGCTCTTGGGGCATCCTGGGGAGAAGCTTGTTGTGCCTCGGTGTCTCTTCTGCCCCTGGAGGTGCTAGCCCTGGGTAGGACAGAATGCACCCTGGCCTTGGGACTCTGAGGAGGATGGTGGTTAGACCACCCCTCATCTACTAATTGGGAAGAGGTGAGGGACTGGCGCATGGTGGCCTCCATGGACTTGGAGTGGGGATTGTGTTCCCATGACAGTGTGTGGTCCTGGGGCTGGGGACCTCTGGTTGCCAAGAATGTCTTACAGAGCTGCAGACCTTTGTTCTCGAGCACCTGGTGCTTGACCCAGCTGGGGGTTCTGTCCTGCATTTCTGGGCAAGGTGCAGGTGTCTTTGGTCTGTCACAGGGTCTGATGCCCAGGATGGGCCCCTCCTTTAAAGAGGAGGCTTTCAGCTAAAGTCTGGGTTTCTCCGAGCTCTCTGTACCAGAAACCTTGGCCTTGCACCCAGCTCTCTGGAGTCCACCTCATGTGGCCTTGTGATGGCCAGGTGTCCTTCATGCACGCTGCTGAGAAGGCCAGGCCCCTCTGCACCCGTGGAGCCCCAGGCCTGGCTGGGCTATGTGGCTGTGGGTTAGCACTTTTCCTCCTGGACCATAGGTGGGTGGGATAGG